ATTGCTCCTTTTTTTGTAGAAAAAAACTGTATTCTCCTTTATGTATAATTGTAGAGTAACAAAGCATTTCATCTTTACAATAGATTGAAGGATTTTAAATCACGTAGATAGTATTTATATATATTGTGAAAATGGACAGTCTTTTCACACAAAATATTTCAGACGAACCAGAGGATATACCACAAACAGATGAACCAGTTTGGGTTCTAGGAAAAAAATATAATGCCATAAGAGGTCTAATAGACAGTTACATTAAAGAGATCTTTAATAAATTAGATATGTAAGATCTTAAATTTCAGAACTCGACGCAATTCGTAGGGATATAAGATCCAAATTATGGTTTACTTATCGAAAAAATTTTGTACCTATTGGTGGTTACAATTCTACATTTACATCTGATAAAGGTTGGGGTTGTATGTTAAGATGTGGTCAAATGGTTCTTGGTCAAGCTTTAATTATATTACATTTAGGTAAATTTTATTTTTATTTAAATTTATTAATTTTATTATATCATTTAATATTTTTACTATTATTTTAAATATACTTTTTATTCTTGAATGTATTAATAAAATTTGATTAATAAATTTGATTAAATTATTTTATAAATTATAATTCAAAAATGACTATAAATTAAAATTATAAAAATTAATTTTTAAATATTAAATAATTAAATAACTATTATATAAATATCTATAATAATCTCTAAATATATATAAAATAGGTAGAGATTGGCAATGGAATCTGGAAACTAGAAATAGTACGTATCTGAAAATTCTAGAACGCTTTGAAGACAAAAGAAATGCTCCTTTTTCTATTCATCAAATTGCATTAATGGGAGCATCAGAAGGAAAAGAAGTTGGTCAATGGTTTGGTCCTAATACAGTAGCACAAGTATTAAAGTATATATTTATTATATTTTAAATATTTATATATATAAGGTTTGATATTTTATCAAATTGTAATTTTTAGAAAATTAGTTGTGTTTGATGAATGGAGTTCAATCACTATACATGTTGCTCTTGACAATACATTAATAGTTAATGATATTTGTAAGTGATTAAACTTTTTATTTTAATCTGTTCGTATTTTTTTTCTTTTTTACTTTAAAATATAATTAAATATTTATAGTAAAACAATGTAGAGTAGAAGGAGGTACAACAGTGGAAGCTGATGGTGATGCTCCATTAAAAGCACCTAGCCAATGGAAACCTTTATTACTTTTAATACCCCTTCGCCTTGGGTTAAGCGAGATTAATCCTATCTACATAAATGGTCTTAAAGTAATAAAGAAATAAATTCTTGCATGAATGGCTAAAATTGGAGTGAAATATGGATGAAGTTAAGGATAATCTATTCATACCTATAATTTTTCAGACATCGTTCAAAATTCCACAATCTCTAGGAGTAATTGGAGGAAAACCCACTCATGCATTATATTTTATAGGATGTGTCGGTATGAATGCATTTAAAAATAAAAATTAAATATTAAATTAAATTATATTAAATGAATTATTTAATTAGAGAGATTATTTATGAAAATTGATTTATTTATTTTTTTTATTATATTTATTTTGTAATAAATTGATAATTAAATTTGGTTAATTTCAATGTTATTTGTAGGAAATGAAGTGATTTATTTAGATCCTCATACAACACAAAAATCAGGTAGTGTTGCCAAAAAACTAGAAGAAGAAGAAATTGAAATGGATGCTACCTATCATTGTAAATTTTCTGGTCGTATTCCTATTATAGAGATAGATCCTTCTGTAGCACTTGTTAGTAAATAATTAATTCTATTATTTAAAAACTAATCAGAAAATTAAATAATTAATAACAATATATTTTTAAGAAATAAGAAAATAATATCATCAATCATTTTAGTGTTTTTTTTGTGCAACTGAAAAAGACTTTAAATCTTTATGCAAATTTATTCAAGAAGAATTAATAACACCAGAAAAGCAACCTTTACTTGAATTATGTGCAGAGAGATTAGCACAATGGTCAGTTGAAGATGTTGCTTCAGAAGCAATAGCAGCTTCAAGTTGTAAGTATTTTTAAATTTGTACAATATTAATAAAAAATTAAAATTTTATATATTTATAAGAATATAAATAATTCGAAGTTTTATATTTCATATATATTATATTTTATATAATATATATATATAAAGTATAAATAAATCTTAGATGTTAAATGTTACAATTAAATTTATTATAGTTTTATATATAGATTTTAAAAATTTTTTTTATAGTTGTAGATTTTGAACATGTAGATCCACAATGTGATACATCTGATGAAGATTTTGAATTACTTGGTTGATATTTCATTATTAACAAAATCTACGATATAAATAATGTATATATAACATCAAAGAGTGAAATGGTCCATTCATACATAAAATACAACCATTCATTCAATACTTAACTAGTACTATTTCAGTACTGAAAATTGAATAATAAAATAATTTATACCAAATAATTTAAATATTGTATATATTACTTATATTTATAAGTTTTTTGGACATGAGTAATTTATTTATATTGTTAATAATAGCATTGTTAATATAAAATAATTTTGATATAAGCAAAATTTTCTAATAAAAAAAAGATATTTCTAAAATATAAATTATATTTAATTTCACAAAAAATATAGAATGTACTTACTTTTTATATCAATTATAAAAATATATATATAATATTAATATATATTGTGTTGTAAATGATTAAATTATTATTAATAATTATGTATTTAAAAATCTAAAGATGAAAATATGTTATGTTTAAAATAAATTTATTTTAGCAGAATCTTTTATATAAAAATATTTAAATATAAAATATGTATAATATTCATTTGTCTCTCTTCCAATTATAATTAAATTTTGTATTAATTTTAAAAATATCTTAAAGTATCAAAATTTTCTAAAATAGTAATTATATAATGAATTGGATTTAATACAAAAATTAAACATAAAAATACTCATGTCCTTAAAATTTTTGCCTTCTTTAACAAATAATGCATGTGATGATTTTTAATGGTGATATATAAATATATTTCATAAGTTTTAAAATATTAAGAAAATCAAATTGAATTCTTAAAAATAAAACTTTTTACATTATTTATTTCAAATATATGCTAATAATTTATAATGCTAAAGTTTAAATATAGAATATATATATA